AAATCAATGGGACATTCATTGGATTCAAACTCAGGACCTCTAGATTGGAACAAACAGACATGACCAACCAAGCTAATAAATTTTTTTGAAATCATTGGGCAACAAAAAATATATATATAATATGCAACCGTATATGTTTTTATAAAATTTAATTAATCACATTTTAAATAAAAATATAAATAGTAATGATATTTAATTAACTATATACATGATTTTATTAACTATATCTCTCACACATATTTAATTAATTATATTATCTCCTTCAATAATTTTATTTCTCAATCCTCTTATACATATGTTCATAATCAAATATTATTATGTCAATTAAGTATGCTCACACTAATTTAATTATAATAATCTCCCTCATATATTTAATTATGTTATCTTTTTCAATTATAATGTCCTTCTCTCTCTCACACACACACACTCTATCTCTCTTCCAATTATATTTATATCTACCTCTACACACACTCTATCATTCACTATTTTCCCCATCACTCAAACTTACATACTTTCTCATGCATGCCTCCACCTCTTTTCTCTCCCATGCACAATGTTTTTCTATTCCATCTCTCAAACATTTAATTATAGTATATGTGTTTTATACACACTCCAAACTTTCTTCCTCTCCCTTTCTCACTCAAACACTACATTATCTTTCTTTTAGTCTCTCTTTAATACAATAATACATAAAAAAACAATAATGATCAAAGTTAGTTAATTATACAAATAAAAGATTATAATATAAACTTTTTACAAAAAAAAATAAAAAATGATAAAAAAATGTGAAAAAACTTTCAGTGGGTGTTTTAGCGGCGACAAACAATGTCGTCACTCAAAGGAGATTCAGTGGTGACTATTTGTTGCTGCTGAAAGCATGTTTCATCGGCGACAAATAGTGTCACTGCTGAAAGCAATATTCTAAAAATGTGTTTTAGCAGCGACAAATAGTGTAACCACTGAAAAGACATTCTGTGGTGACCATTCTAGTCGCTGCTGAAAGTGAACACTTCAGCTGCGTGACCATGTTTGTTGCCACCGTAGTGGGCACCTTTCAGCGGCAATAGATTTTGTCGCCACTGAAAGCTGCACCTACGGTTGCAACAACCAGAAGCCACCACTGTTACTATCATTTTTGGCGGCTATGTTCTTGTCGCCACTAAAAGGCTTGACTTTTGGCGGGACACCTCTTGTCACCGTTAAAAGTCATATTTTCAGTGGCAACTTTATTTGTCGCCTCTGAAAGTCGCTGCTGGAAGTTCAATTTTTTGTAGTTAGTATTAAAACTGATCATTTTTCTTCTCATCACTTCATATAAGACCACTATATATTGTACGAATCCAAATTATGAACTACTTTTGTTGTCTTTGAAAAACACATATAAAGACCATCAAAATTTAAATTTTCAAAAAAAGAAATTCAAAATTTTATAGGAATTAAGCCATTTGAAGAGAGATCATTTTAAATTTCTCATATTCCAGTTCAATCGTACTTATATATCTCTATCCCTTTGTTTTTCCTACCCATATATGTCCTTAAGATGGTGTTAGAAAAGATGCTTTTGGTATCTGTTGGAATATGAAAGTTATTCTAAACGTTTCTCCAATGGACGCTGGTCCACATGATCACTTCTTCCTAAGCTTTCTTAGTTTAACTATAATTGACTTTAATAAGAGACTTGCACGCCAAACAGCAGCCAATTCTTTTAACAACTAACTACGTGTACATAGCTTACTTTTAAGAAATCAAAATGAAATTTTTGTAAAATCAAAGAATTTAGGATGCATTTTCCCTTATGTGTCACACCTTACTTATATAGTACCTTAGCATTCATTTAGAACCATTCCAGACCATGTTGAATGGTCTTACACTTAAAAATTTCAATTTTGACATTAATTTTCGGAAAATTACGGTTCACTGTCTAGTTTTCAGATTACAGGTCCAACTTTGAAAAATCATAACTAATTCTAGAAAAATCGTATGGAGGTGTTCGAAATTCTGGCGAAAGCTCTTTCAATACTCTTTAAGGGAAAAATATTCAAATAAATCATTCTCATTGAAAACATACAGTTTATTGGATTAAGATTACTATTTGTTTGGTAAAATCTGGACTTTCTAGATTCTGCGCCTTAACTTTGAAAATTATATCTCTTCGTATACATATCCAAATGAGGTGATTCACCACTCATTTTAAATCTTGGGATGTGTACTATAAGTATAACAAAATTTTGTAGCTTAACTCATTCATATGATAGGTCAAACTGAAGCTCGAAACTAACTGCTTCATGACCTATGTTTTATCCATTAACATCTATTTACTTTTATTCTTTTTATTTCTTTGACATACCTAACATGGGCTTACTTTTTCCCATTCATGCTCATACATTCCTATACATGCCATAAGCTTTATAATTAAATACATGGCATTCACAACATAAGTCATAACATAGGAGAATTATACATTGAATATTAGTATCAATCATTAGCATCAATAATTCTCCACTTCTTCTCCTTGCTTCTCATGCCATTAGTGCCCATCATTGATTGACCTAAATGGTTGGTTACGAAGGGGTGAGATTCGGGGGAATCTCAGTAGCAAACATTATCACATACATGTACAAGATGGATACTAGTGTATGGTATGTAGTTTTTTATAAACTTAAGTTAACTAGTGACATGTCATCATGCTTTATGCTTGGTATAAAAATGTATGGCCATGGGAACATATTAAAAACAGCATTTTCAGCAACAATCATCATGTCACAACATTATTCAAACAAACAAATACAAACCAACACATGAGCATACCATGTCAAGCACATAAAGGGTAAGTTCACTACCTTGCACCTCAAGCTTTCCTCTTACTTTTCCTTTGACTCCCTTGACTTTCCAACCATGTGGGCATTCGGTTAACATCACCAAATATCCTCTTGGATGTTCCAAAGTCCTAAACATAACCATAATGATCACACAATCTATTAGGACCATTAGATTACATAAAGTTCAAGACTAACTTTCTTGAACCCCAACCTTTCTCTTAGTCTTAGGGTTTTCTCTCTAACTTTTCTAATATAAATATTATCATTTCCCATCCTTAAGATCCATTTCTTGTCAATTAGGACCATTTTAGATGGCTTAGATTCAAGAACACCAAATCTGGAAATTTTGGTTCGCGGGTACTGTTCACGCAGAAACTCCAGAATTTTTACTCAACTTTGAAAATTCATAATTAAATCTAAAAAAATCCAAATTAAGTGCTTCCAAGTCTCACTGAAAGCTCCTTAAGTTAACTTTAAAGGAAAAATAGTTTCAGGAACCAATTCTATGCCGAACAGTACCAGAATTGTACAGAACTCGATACTCTCCCAAAAGTTCAACACTGTTTCCAGATTTCAAACCTAACTTTGAAAAATCACCATAAATCGTACACATATCCAAATGAAGTGATCTACCCATAGATTTAAAGCTCACAGATGTACTTTAAGCATGCCAAATTTTAAAACCAGATATGAACAGTAACTAATTCGAAATAGGCATCAAATCAGCACGTAATTCTTCCAATTTTCACATAGATCCACTTGGATCTACCATACTTTGAGGTGTTCTAGTAAGATCTAACAACCAAACTCCCTTCCCCACTCATCAACCATTTTGACCAGCCATCAAAGGGAGAGAAAATAGATTTTTCAACCTTAAAAGAGAAGGAAAACAAGACAAGAACGCATCTAGAACTAAGATCTCACCTTGAATCCTTGATTGATAACCAAAGTTGATAGCTTTTCTTGGTTCTCCTTCCAAAACCCTCTCTTTTCCTCTCCTCTTTGCCTTGGATGAAATTCCCATCTGATTTAGGGGAGAGATGAGCCCCTTAGTGCTCTCAAAATATCTCATCTACCACATTTAATGAAAGTCCAAGTGTCAAATGCCTAAGCCTTCTGAAACCTCTCTCTTAATTAACTTAATTCATAATATAATTACATTCTAAAGTCAAGATCCTCTCCATTGGTAGCTTGACACTTAAATTTAATTACCATCCATTAAATGCTTGACAAGTGGCGACTTGTGGGCCAAGTAAAGTGCAAGACTCTGATTAGCACTTTATCGGTGTACTTTTACTCCGGGTTTAATTTCTTTTCTATAATTACAGTGTTCTGGCCTCTGTAATTATTTTCTGTTAGATCCATAAATTCCCTTTAATTCTAGAGAGTATCTATGAATTTTCTCAAGCCATAACACTTCTCTAAGCCTTGTATAAAAATCATTTACTAAAATACCCTTTTATCGGTATAATCTGCTCTTTAATTTTTTAAAGTCATTCCACTGGCCTTTTGGTTACGGGACTAATTTTATAAATTAGTATAACCTTTCAGCCAATTAATCCTCATTTTTACGTACATTTTTGAGGTCTCTTGCTTTTAAATAATTACCTCAAACAGTGTACTTTTTACTGGCCATAACCTCATAAATCCATTTAAGCTATCTCAGGGGTTTTCGTCTTTTCTCTTTATAGAAGAGCCTTAGAATATTATTTCCCATTTTTGGGATTTTCTTGGAATTTTCTGTATACTCTTCCATTTTCGCCCTTGTTGGTCATAACTTTTTGAATTTACGTTTAGTCCCTACTTGGACTTAACTTCATATAATCCTCTATTGAGACTTCTAACTTAATCTTTGGTCTATATCTAGTCTCTTTTCTCTCTCTAGGCCTTTGAGACTTTACTGGAGTCTCTGACCTTGATTATACTAAAGCCCCTGAAAAACTTTTACTTTGCAGTTTAGTCCTTGAAACTGCTTTGACTTCCTTTCTCATCTTTCGGACTTATGCTCAAAAGGGTTGGTAGCCTATCCAATTCAGGCTACTTTTGATACTTCTAGGCCCAAAAGTCTGGATGTTACATTATGCATCTTTATGATCCGGAGAATAAGATAACGAGTGTATTAGAGTGTAAGTATGAGTAATATATATATATAGAGAGAGAAAATCGATATCAAAGATGACGATGAAGCCAAGGGTTTCCATACAGTTGAAGCTTTTGATAGTGCAATACCTATCAGTTCTGTCTGTTTCACAGGATTTCGATTTCTTCTACGTGGTTCAGCAGGTAAATATGTGTGCATGTGTGCATAATGAAGGGATATGGTAACTTTGGAAAGATTAAGAAAATGGATTTGATAATTAAGGTTTATGTGGAAAAGTTTGATAATGCAGTGGCCAGGAGCATACTGTGACACAAAGCGTAGTTGCTGCTACCCAAAGAGCGGAAAACCAGAAGCAGATTTTTCTATTCATGGCTTGTGGCTTAACTATAATGATGGCTCTTGGCCTTCAAACTGGGATCTTGATAGCATCTTTGATAAATCTCAGGTAACATAACATATACCACTATACAATACGATAATTAATTAGCCAGTAACATGACAAGAAAACAATATGATGCTTTTGTCACGGAGGAATTGTTCTCAGGCATAAAAACTAGAAAGATTTCTCTCAGATTTTCAGATTTTCTTTGGCAATAGTTTTCTCATGAAAACTTTTCACAGAAAAAAGCAACAGAGAAACCTTCAAGCTATAACAATCAGACGTGTATTTTTTCTGTTTAATTAACTTATTAGAAGTTTTGTATGTCGTATGATATAATGATCATTATGTGTACCTATGTAATGCTGATTTATTCTACCACATGTCAATTATGTATTATACCGGGCCACCTTACGAGTCATGTTTTTTTTAATACTGGGAAAGTTGGCATTTTTGCCACTACCATCCATCCATGTGCATGTCCTGAGCAATGGCTTATTAAATATCCACAACAATGAGAACTAACAATCATAATCTTCTGCAATAGTAAGGCATCATATATTTAGAAGAGAAACTATAACGTATAATATAAATTGTTTGTGTGAATCTTTCTATTCTATTTCAACTCCTCCAATCCTAAATATAAGACCCTTATACTAGTGTGTAAAAGGACCTTTATATTGTGTGTATAAGGGTCTTATATTTAGGACCAGAGGAGTATATTCTCTGTGTGTGTTTGTGTGTATAAGGGCAGCTCAAGACACAAAACTCCCACTTGGGGAGCTCTTGAGGAATAGAGATGTACATAGTCTTACCCTGAAAGGTTGAGGCTACTTCCAAGATTTGAACGCTGACCACCATATTGCATGGTGGCAATCTTTCCGTTTCCCTTAGTCTCACTTTTATATATATATATATATATGTATATGTATATATATTATATGTTAGTCTCACTTTATATATATATGTATATATATTATATGTTGTGTCTTATAACCAATTCATAAACCAATTCAGTACTGAAGATTTTGAAATACGATTATTATTCACACATACACCCAGAAACTTGGTGCTCTGCTTTGTGTTTTTTAATTTAATCTTCAGGAATACATTGTTGAAGTTCCCCACATCGATAGAACACAATAAAAGTACCCATATCCTGTATAAGAAAATTAATTAGAGATGTCCCAAAATATTTATATGTACAAATCAATCTTGTATATTCACAGGTCATATTTAACAGTACATGCTTAATGCAAACCAAATTTTTATATTTACAAGTCGAGTTTCGTTATTTCTAAGCTTGTAAATTCTTAAAAAATTGAATCAAATGGAGACTCTTTGTATGAATTTTATGTGGGCCTATAGATAATTTTCATGTATAAATTTAAATGAAAAAGGAGAGAAAATAACCTCTGGTCCTTTTATCAAGTGGAAGTTTATGATTTAAAACAGTATAGGTGGACATATTCAAGATAAGTGATTGATGGTGATGATGATTACGGTATATGAATTGCCTTCATTTTGAATAAAGAGTACAAGTTGGTATGTTAGTTAGCTATCATATTATTTCATGTGATATAATCAAATACAAGAATTTGAATGTTACACATAGATATCAGATTTGATAAGTAGCATGGAGAAGCACTGGGCATCATTAAGTTGCCCAAGTAGCAATGGGATGAGGTTCTGGTCACATGAGTGGGAAAAACATGGCACCTGCTCTGAATCAGAACTTGATATTCGTGACTACTTCAAGAAAGCCCTTGAACTCAAGCAGAAAGTCAACCTCCTCAAGATCCTCAAAGATGCTGGTACTTATATTCTCACTTAATTATATATATAAAGTTTTTATTTTTAGGGAAAATGACATTGAGGTCCCATGGAGAACAAAATACATCAAATAGGTCCCCTGAAATCTGATAATTTTTTTTGAAGTCCCAAAGGGACTCAGATGCAATTTTCAGAATCTTCAAATGACTTATTTGTCCTTACCATGATTTCCCATTCGAAATTCCTGAGACTGAAAATTTGAAACCCTGTTTGTTGTTTGACCGAAGAAAACCGTCTGGCGCCTTCGTCCTGTTCGAAATCGTTCGTGCTGAGAATTCAGCCACAACCCACCGTGTTGCTTCAAATCTACTCACAACCCACCGAAAATCATGACCGAAGTCCTTGAAAGCCTGTCGCGGTGGCTTGTTTTGGTGGAGCAAAGTGAAGTAAAGCGGAGCGAAGTCCTGGTGTTGGAAGCGAAGCGTGGTGGCGTCTCCATTCATCGGTGTTTGAAGCAAAGTGGAGGTCGTCTTGGTGTTTGAAGCGAAGTGGAGCTCGTCCTGGTGGCTCTGTTGATTGGCGTTTGAAGCAAAGTGGAGGTCATCGTTGTGGCTGTTCATCTGCATTTGAAGCAAAGTCGAGCTCGTCGTGGTGGCTCCGTTGATCGGCATCAGAAGCGAAGAGAAGGTCGTCGTTGTGGTTGCAGTCATTTGCGTTTCAAGCGAAGAGGAGTCGTCCTGGTGGGTCCGTTGATCGGCGTCTGAAGCAGAGCTCCTATTCTCACAATTTGTTTTCGCAGACAGAGGCATTGTCGACATTGAAGAAGGTAAAAGCGTATGAATCAGAAAAGCATGTCTTGGTAGTTTGTTGTTGCGTTTGATCATTGCTGAATATTTGCATCAAATACGGCGGGATGCTTTTGATTATGCTTGGCCAATGTTTTTTTTTCCCCTTGACCATAAGATGGTATGCGTATGGAGTATGTTTAAAACAATGATACATAATGAGGCATTAGCCTTCTAAAAGCACTTCTAAGAAGGCTTGTAAGAAGAATGATACATGATGAGATGAGCTATGAAATGCGTAAATGGTAAATAACTAGAATATGATAATATGGAAGAATCAGATTTGAGGCTGAATAATTGATGTGCCTTGTTTGGAGTTCAAAGTATTTGTCAAGATTGTTTAGTCTGTAATTGTTACTACTTTCCTTTTTGGGATTTCTATTATCATATTGATGATTGCGTCTAAATTATGCATGATGCAGCCTTTCATTTATTGGTGAAAAATTGAATCTTTTTATCACTAATTAAGCCTTTCATTTGTTGACATACTGAGACAATGGAAAAACCCCTCTTTTGGTATATCTGTCTGGAACTAGTTTGAGAAGTTTGCTGTGGTCTGAAAGAGTTGGGGTTTAGGATTTGAGCAGAATTGCCAAAAAGTCTGTATATTGATCATAAATGTCATAGTAAATGAATGCTGTGTCTGAATGGATTAGTTTGTATATTTATCGTACTGCTTTTGAATCAATTTTCTTTTTTATATCTATGAAGCTCCGCATCTCTGCAAAAGTTACTAGGAATTTAAGAAGAATTGAAGTTCAATGCACTGGTCTTGTTTTGCAGGATAAGAAGATGGGGAAGGATGCACAAAGAAGCAGTAATTTCTCCGGTTATGCCTTGTTTACAGAGGAATTCTACAAGAAAAGCTCAAAGAAGTACAAATCACTTGAGCAGGGAATGCACAAGTGAGAAAGGCATGGGATAAATTATCAGAACAACAAAGAGAGGAATATTGTGAAAGGGCTAAGGCACAAGACCTCCTACCAAGTCCAAGAAGTATATTGTTCCTTTCTATACAAGATGTGCACCAAAACAATTCATGCAAGTTTGCAAGCACATCAAAGAAAGGAGGAACTGATGAATAGGCTGAAAAAAATAGGGTTTGACAAGTTGGTTGAAGTTTGTTGCCACACAATTCAAAGAGAATTATGTGGAGAGTTTATGTCTGCATTTGATGTTGCATCAAAAAACATTTCCATAAGAGGGAAGAGAAGGAAAATGAGGGCAAAAGATGTGTATGAATTTCGGGGCACCATTTGACAGAGAAGAGATTAAAGTAGTTGTGAATAATGAAGATGAAGTGTTCAAGCAGTGGAGGATTGTGTATGGCAATATTCCATACAAGAAGATAGCATCATTGTTGACTGAGGAGAACCAAGATGAAAATTTTGAGGTGCTGTTTGTCATGTATGCATTGGGAACATTGTTATTTCCTAATGCAAGCATTTGTGTCGGTGATTATTTGTTGAAGGTAATACTATCAACAAAGGATAGATTGGATAAGTTTGATTGGTCCTCTTATGTGTTGCATGAACTATATAAGGGGATTGGAGTGTACAAGAAACAATTGGAAAAAGGCAAGTTGACTGAGAAGAAGAAGAATGTGCCAGGTTGTCTACACTTCCTAATGGTAAGTACTATAATAATTTGTATATTTCTGTTGTCATTTGATGGTTTGAATGTTGTCAATGCCTGCTGTTAACTTATCATTCATGTCACATGCAGTTATATTGTCTACAAAATTTTCCACTGGGAGAAACAAAAGCTGCACATGTAAAGCAGTTGTTGTTGGCATATTGGGATGAAAAGAAAGTGCGCAAAGAGTTAAGGAGAGAGGAAAGGAAAGCAATCGAGGACTCTTGCATCCGCAAAGCAATCCACCAAATTTGATCCTGAAATTTAACTTACCCGGTATGTGGACTTGTAGGCTTAATGATTAATTTTTTTTTGTTTTTTTACTGTTGCTTACTGTTCTGAATTTTATTTATAGGAGATCAAAAAGACATATACTCGATTAGTGTCTGGTATGCTGGGGAGAAATGATGGCCCTTCAGTCAAGACTAATGGAGGGTAGTAGCAAGTAAGTGAAGAGGACAAAGGATGAGGAAGAAGAATCTGAAGCAGAAGAGGAAAAAGTTGAGAAAGGAAGTGATTCAAAGGATGAGGAAGAAGATGACAGAAATGAAGAAGAAGAATCTGAATCATAAGATGATAGAAATGAAGAAGAAGAGCAAGAAGCTCAATCAGAAAAGGAGATGGGGGACAAGAATCACATGACAAGAAAAAGAAGAGGATGAAGAGGAAAAAGAGAAGGGAAATGA